GCGCCCGATTCGGCTGACGATGGGTTACCACCGCCAGCCCGGAGACAAGGGTTTACCCCTGCCCCCGATTCGGCCGAGGATGGGTTACCACCCCCGGCCCGGACGCAAGGGGCTACCCCTGCGCCCGATTCGGCCGCCGATGGGTTACCACCGGCGGCCCGGAGACAAGGGGTTACCCCTGCCCCCGATTCGGCCGAGGATGGGTTACCACCCCCGGCCCGGACGCAACGGGCTACCCCTGCGCCCGGCCGCTGCCTCGTCGTCGTCATCGTCAGCTCCTCAGTCGCCCTCTCGGACGCCGCGGCCGTGGGGCGGCGGAGCCTCTCGGACCTCCACGCTGTCGCATGACTACAACAAGTTTGCCGACGACCAGCTCGGACGATGTCACCCGGACTTTTCAATCGCCCTTTCGGGCACGCAGGCCCATGACAACAACAATTTTGCCCGCGACCAGTTCAGACAGACGAGACTCCCGCTTGGTAACACCCCGGTATTCAGGCCGCAGGAGCGAGTTCTAAAATCCGTCCTCAGACCTCCAAGTGGCGACAGGAGACGGTCCTCTGACGGGGCTACCCGCACCGCCCACAGACAAAGCTCCCCCTTGATACTTCCCCCGTGTTCAGGCCGCAGGAGCTGAGGAGCCCAAAAAGCTCGCTCGGATGACCCGCTCGAGTTCGAACATGAAGTGCGTGCCCCATAGGGAGGGGGCTCCCGCCTGAGACTTCCTCGCAGTTCACTCACAGACGAGGCTCCCGCTCGAGACTTCCTTCATATTCAAGCCTCAAGAGACCAAAAATGACGACAGTTACAAGGTTCCGATGACCCGCTCGGATTAGTTACATGATCGGCGGGCCCCATAAGGAGGGCGCTCCAGCCTGAGACGTCCTCGCAATCCACTCAGAGACGAGGCTCCCGCCTGATATTTCCTCCATATTCAGGCCTTAAGAGCCCAAAAGTGACGACGGTTACGAAGTTCCGATGACCCGCTCGGATTAATAACATGATCTGCGGGCCCCATAGGGAGGGGGCTCCCGCCTGAGGCTTCCTCGCAATTCACTCACAGACGAGGCTCCCGCCTGATACGTCCTGCATATTCAAGCCTCAGAGGCCCAAAAGTGACGACAGTCATAGGGTTCCGATGACCCGCTCGGATTAGTAACATGATCTGCGGGCCCCATAGGGCGGGGGCTCCCGCCTGAGACTTCCTCGCAATTCACTCACAGACGAAGCTCCCGCTCGAGACCTCCTTCACACTCAAGCCTCAAGAGCCCAAAAGTGACGACAGTTACCAGGTTCCGATGACCCGCTCGGATTAATTACATGATCGGCGGGCCCCATAAGGAGGGGGCTCCAGCCTGAGACTTCCTCGCAATTCACTCACAGACGAGGCTCCCGCCTGATACTTCCTCCATATTCAGGCCTCAAGAGCCCAAAAGTGACGACGGTTACGAAGTTCCGATGACCCGCTCGGATTAATAACATGACCTGCAGGCCCCATAGGGAGGGGGCTCCCGCCTGAGGCTTCCTCGCAATTCACTCACAGACGAGGCTCCCGCCTGATACTTCCTATTCAAGCCTCAGAGGCCCAAAAGTGACGACAGTCATAGGGTTCCGATGACCCGCTCGGATTAGTAACATGATCTGCGGGCCCCATAGGGCGGGGGCTCCCGCCTGAGACTTCCTCGCAATTCACTCAGAGGCTCCCGCCTGATGACGAAATGATGAGTGAGCGAATGATGATGATGAGTGTGTGATGAATGAGTGATGATGATGATGATGATGATGGTGGTGATGATGATGATGATGATGATGATGATGATGATGATGATGATGATGATGATGATGAGGATGAGGATGAGGATGAGGATGAGGAAAAGTAGGATGAGGATTAAGATGAGAAATGAGGATGGAAGGATATGATGATGATGATATGATGATGATAGATAGAGCCACTGAGTGGTGATCGAGAGATTATGATGGAGATGGTGACGATGATGTTGAGGGTGGCGGCGGTCCTACCGTCGGATGACCACTGCCTCCGAAGCCTACTGAGGATGAGTGAGTAATTGAGTGAGTGAGTGGGTGATCGAGTGGTGATGATGGTGACGATGATGATGAGGATGATGATGATGACTAGTGATGACGGTGATGGTGGTTGATGGTGATGATGATGGTAATGATGATGAGTGTGTGCGTGTGATGACGATGATGGTGGTTGATGGTGATGATGAAGGCGATGATGGTGAGTGAGAGAGAGAGAGAGAGGAAAGGGGGTGTGTGAGATCCTGCGCGGCGTGTGCAGAGAAAACAAGAACCCCACTCTTGATGTGGGGAAAAACATACTGAACAAATGCCCCCAAATACTTTTAAAAAA